TTGCTGCCTTCCACTTCTTCTTATAAGGCCCCGAGAGAGCTTCCTCTTTTGTGCGAGGAGTCGGAATGGTCGGGTTCTCGGTGAAGTTGAGGGAAGGGCAGTCAGTAATGTCCGGGAAGATGTGAGAGAGAAATTGGCAGACCGCGTGAAGGTCAAATAGCTCCTCATGCCTGTCCTCCAGAAGTGCACTGGGGGGAATACGGATGGAGGGGACATCATCCCCGGCAGGAGGAGGCGGGGTGACCGAACACCGGATGGAGAAGGCGGCTGGTCCCCAGGCGAGAGGCGGAGCCGGTCCCTTGGAACGAGTGCGACTAGAGACCGGAGACGAAGGCGGCTGCGGTGGGACCGGAGGGACTGGGCGCCTCCAATAGGAGAGTGGTGAGCCGGGCTCGACGCGCGGAGAAGGCGGAGCAGGAGGAGGTGCCGCTGCGGAGGATACTGGGGAGGCCGGGTGAGACACGCCGGACGGAGAAGGCCCCGGAGAAGGGGCAGCGGCCGGAGGTGGGGCATCAAAGTCTGCCCAAACAAGCGTCGGGGGAGGTGGAGGTGGCTCGCCCGTGGTCGCAGAATGGAATGGGCGTGTCTCATCGAAGACGACATCACGGCTGCGAATCAGCTGTCTGGCGATTGGGTTGAGGAATAATTAGTCTGGGGAGTTGGAGTTGTGCCCCAGGTACATGCAGGTCTGGGTTTTGGGACCAAGCTTGCCACCTTGCTTCCTGCGCGTGTGGGGGCTTAGCAACACAAACGCGGTACACCCCCAGAAGCGTAGAGAGCGGGCGGAAGGCGTGACCCCAAGCCAGAGAGCGGTACAGTGACGGAAAAAACTGTCCGGATGTTTGGCATTAATTAGGTTTTTTAGGCTTTTCGACCACGGTACATAAAGTCTTAATGTTTAATGGTGGTACACTTTTGGAGGGGCACATAGTGGATGTGTTCACAGCACTTACGTCCATAGTAGTATACTGCATCTAACTTAGTGCCAAAATTTATACAAGGGGGTCATCCGGACAGTTTTTTCTCGGGACAAAGCGTAAACTTTCGAACAGGTTTCTAGTACCTAGTACACCGACCCTTGGCCTTGATCACCACCCGCACCCTCCTAGGCATGTTATCTACGAGGTTAGTGCAAACCGTTGTAGAGATCCTCTCGCACTCTTCCTGGACCCTCCCTTTTGCATAAGGGGGTGAGCACTTGGAAAACCGCGAGGGATTTGAGTGTCTGCAAGTTTTTTGTGCACGATTTCTGTTTGAATATTATGTATGAGACTAGCCACACTGAGGTTTGACCAAAGATGCAATTAGCCGACTAGTTCCATCTTATCATGGGTCGTCTTCGTCGTACCGCTGTAGGCTAAAACCACGAACAGAGCGGCAAAAAATAGTGTATATGTCATGAAACTGAGGGTGACGTAGCACAGTTGATTATTCATCCTTGCACTACTAGAATCACGCTAGCATCGGCATGTCTCATCATGGTGCAGCAGTCGAAGAAGTTGCGACTATTCGGAAAGAATATCCAGGTTGAGGTCCGGTGAAGAAAAGGGTCACTCCAGTGCAACATACTTATGCTCCCCAATGCTCTGCAAGCCATTTGTACCGCATAGGCTTGGAATAGAATTGGAGAGCATCAGTTTGTAGCACTGGAGTCGCCCTTTTCTTCACCTGACCTCAACTTGGATATTCTTCCACAACAGTCGCAACTTCTTCGAATGCTACACCATGATGAGACATGCAGATCCTAGCGTGATTCTAATAGTGCAAGGATGAATAATCAACCGTGCTACGTCACCCTCAGTTTCATGGCATATACACTATTTTTTGCCGCTCTGTTCGCGGTTTTTCCCTACAGCAGTACGACGAAAACGAGCCATGATAAGATGGAACTAATCGGCTAATGGCATATTTGGTCATACCTCAGTGTGGCTAGTCTTATACATAACATTCAAACAGAAATCGTGCACAAAAAACTTGCAGACACTCAAATCCCTCGCGGTTTTCCTAGTGCTCACCCCCTTATGCAAAAGGGAGGGTCCAGGAAGAGTGCGAGAGGATCTCTGCAACGGTTTGCACTAACCTCGTAGATAACATGCCTAGGAGGGTGCGGGTGGTGATCAAGGCCAAGGGTCGGTGTACTAGGTACTAAAAACTTGTTCGGAAGTTTACGCTTTGTCCCGGGAAAAAACTGTCCGGATGACCCCCTTGTATAAATTTTGGCACTAAGTTAGATGCAGTGTACTACTATGGACGTAAGTGCTGTGAACACATCCACTATGTGCCCCTCCAAAAGCGTACCACCATTAAACATTAAGACTTTATGTACCGTGGTCGAAAAGCCTAAAAAACCTAATTAATGCCAAACACCCGGACAGTTTTTTCCGTCACTGTAGGTGTGGTGTCGGGCCGGTGGGGATGCGGATAAAGATTGTAGAGGAGTGCCGCATGGAAGAGGGCATATCCCCAGAGTGACCATGGTGCGTTGGCGTGACTGAGGAGACAGCGAGCGATCTGAACCAAGGTGTGGTTGCGGCTCTCTGCAATGCCATTCTGCTGCGGGCTTTCGGGGAGCGTGAAGGTTTGCCGAATCCCTTGGGCCGCACAGAAGTTATCGAGTTTGCCATTGCAAAATTCTCCCCCGCCATCAGAATGGAGGCACTTCAGAGGAGTGCCGAACGTGACTTGAGCCTGGCGCACCCACGCCATGATGACATCAGGTGCCTCCGCCTTGGTATGCAGGAGGTGCACAGAAACATACTGCGAGTGGTCATCGACTAGTGTAAGAAAGTACCGATGACCGCCTCGGGATGCGACTGGAGCTGGGCCCCAGACATCCATGTGCACTAGGTCCAGCGGAGCAGCTGCGACGGATGGGGAGGAAGGGTGCGGCTGCTGCCTGAGCTTTCTCTTGGTGCAGTCCAGGCAGGTGGGTGCGGGTGAGTCTGTTGGTGGAGGAAGCGCCGACGGGAGGCCAAGAAGAAGTTTCTTGGAAGCGATGTCGGCAAGTGTACGGAAGTTGGGGTGACCCAAGCGATGGTGGTAGAGGATGGTTGGGTTGGCGAAGCTGCGATACGAACACGGAGTGGTGCTGGCAGCTTGCGCTTGAGAGAGGGCGGCGAGAGGTGCAGGTGAACGCAGCGTGGAGAGCTTGCTACTGTTGAGTGTGAAGCGTGCTAGGAGCTTGTTGCACTTAGGGTCGAAGAGGTCACAGTGATCCAAGTGTGCTGGGAAGATCGGGATGCGACTGGAGCTGGGCCCCAGACATCCATGTGCACTAGGTCCAGCGGAGCAGCTGCGATGGATGGGGAGGAAGGGTGCGGCTGCTGCCTGAGCTTTCTCTTGGTGCAGTCCAGGCAGGTGGGTGCGGGTGAGTCTGTTGGTGGAGGAAGCGCCGACGGGAGGCCAAGAAGAAGTTTCTTGGAAGCGATGTCGGCAAGTGTACGGAAGTTGGGGTGACCCAAGCGATGGTGCTAGAGGATGGTTGGGTTGGCGAAGCTGCGATACGAACACGGAGTGGTGCTGGCAGCTTGCGCTTGGGAGAGGGCGGCGAGAGGTGCAGGTGAACGCAGCGTGTAGAGCTTGCTACTGTTGAGTGTGAAGCGTGCTAGCAGCTTGTTGGACTTAGGATCGGCGGACCTCTCGGGTTTAGGAGGCTCTTTGCCGTCACCGGTGTTGAGAAGGACGTCGGTGAGCTCGAGCCCCTTCACCTCGCGACTGAGGAGGTGCTTGTCGACACCATAGCGCCAAGCCTTGTAGTTGGAGCATGTACCGTCCGGCTCGAGACGAAGGAGCGGGATCAGGTGGCGAGTGAAGTGGTTGAGTAAGCCATTGTCGGTGTGCAGCGCGGCACTTCTGGAAATTGGTCGACGAGAATTGCTGAAAATCACTCTAACGGCTGTATCAAAATGCCGCTAAGTAGGAAATTGCGTCAGCGAAAATTTGTTAGAACGCCGACTTGAAACTGAATCTGAGCCTATGTCTAACCCCGGACCCACACACCCCCCCACACACCCCCAGGCCCTGTCCCGCAGCTACACAGCTCCGCAACCAGCTCCGCAACCAGCTCTGCATCCAGCTCCGCAACCAGCTCCGCAACTAGCTCCACAACCAGCTCCGCTCCGCTTAAATATGTGTACCTGCTCTTGCTTGACGCGAGACGTTCGTGGAGGCGATTTCGCGAGGGGAGTTCGCCTATTCTGGCGGGGTCTGAGGGGAAACTCGAGAACGAGTTTTAAGAGATGGTCGAAATTGAGATTCGACCAAGGAGAACCGAGGAGGAAATCGACAACGAGAAGCGTGAACGCTTCTGAGATGAAAAATTCAACGAGGTCGAGCGCGAAGGTGGTCGACGATGAGAGGCGCGACTGCAGAGTGGAGCACGTCGAAATTTCGACGACTCGAAACGAATGTCGCGACGATGAAGTGCGCGTAGCGCGGGCACGTTCAGACTAGGACCTTTATCCGCGTGTGCGGATAGGTTGCTCTGATACCATGTAAGAAATAGAGTTGAAATGATTGATTAGGTAAGGAGCCCAAGGCTCTATAAGTACATGGCAAGGTGAGAGAGAATAGATGAAGGGGGAATTGGAGGGAATCCCCATTGGGATCTCCGGAATCTCCAATTAGGTAATTGGAGATTGTGGGGATCACAATTGGGTGAGGTTGGGATTTGTGAGTACACCCCAAACCACTAGAACATTCACAACCTAAACTAGGATATAAAAGTAAAAATACAAAAATGGTATTTGCAGTCTATTTCTAACACCAGCATCTCGGGGCCTGCTTTATGCCATAGATGGCCTTGTTAAGTTTGCAGACTCGACCGGTTCCATCCTCATAGCCAGGTGGTTGAACCATGTACACCTCCTCTTCCACAATGCCATACAGAAAAGTGGTTACGATTTCCATCTGCTTCACCTTCCATTAGCGCACAGCAGCTACCGCCAGCAGCACACGCAGCGTTGGAGACTTAGCAGTTGGGGCAAACACTTCCTTCTCTTTCTGCTGAAACCCCTTTGCCACCAGCCTGCTCTTGTAAACTGATGGCTCTCATTTCTCATCCGTCTTGATTTTTGCCAGCCACTTGCACTGTATCGCCTTCTTCCCATTTGGCAAGTACACCAGGTCCCATGTGTGATTCTCCATCTGGCTGTTGTACTCTGCATCTCTTGAAATGAGCCACTTCCCCCGTTGAGGACCGGCTAGCGCATGATCCATGCTCGGAGGTTGTATTTGTGCGTAAAAGCAGTATTCAGGCTCCTCGTCATCTGACTCTTGGTCATCACCCAAGAACAGCACTGCATCTTCGCCTTGAGCCTGTTCCTGCTGCTCTGTTGTGGCTCCTCCACTTGTAGAGCTCAGCAGCTTTCTTGTTGCCATTCTGGTACGTGCAGGGTAGATGGTTGGATTTACCCATTCTTTCACCTTCACCCAATCCTTTGTCCCCCCACCAATCTGTTTCCTTCGCTTTGGCAGACTTGGTGTTTTGGAAGCCTCTTGCTGCTGCTGCTCCGGATCCTTGACTTCAGCATCAGCTGCAATATCCTCATTGCTTCCTTCATCAGTACCGCTTGCCGTTGGCGCAGTGACTTCGCTGTCCTCAGGTTCGGACAAATCGAAGTGCATAGTGATCTCTTCCAGCTGCTGGGTGACCCTTGCCTCCGGCTGCTTCTCCCATTTGCCATACATGATGTTCTCCACAAATTTGACATCCCGACTGTCAAACAGCACATTCTTTGAGGGCTACCTGAGTAGCCACCCCTTGCTCTCTGCCGCAAGCCCAAGGTGCACACACCACAGTGCAGATGCTCCAAGCTTTGTCCTGTACGGTTTAGGGACATGCGCCACTGCCATGCATCCGAACACTCTAAGCATGTCCACTGGAGGCTTCTTTCCAAGCCACCTCTCCAGCGGCACCCACATATCATCAGCCACCTTTGTGAGTACGCGGTTCCTTGCCACTGTAGCATGCCTCACCGCATGAGGCCACATGGAGTTCCCCAGCCCTGATTCGATCAGCAGCGCTCGCGCAGTTTCCAGGATGGTCCTATTAGCCCTCTCAGCAATGCCATTTGACTGAGGGGTATAGGACGTCGTTAGCTGATGCTCAATGCCTTGTTTCTTGAGCCACGCAGTCAGATCTCCTCCTAGAAACTCTCCACCTCGGTTGGTTTTGATGCTCTTGCATGGGTGCCCAGATTGTCGCTCGACGAACGGCAGCCAGTCATCTCGGATTGTTGAGGCAGCATGATCCTTCTGCTTCAACGGGTATGCCCACATCAGCCGACTCCAGTCATCAACTATTGTTAGAAAGTATCTTTCCCCCTTTCTTCCTTGAACTGGAAAAGGTCCTACCAGGTCCATGTGCACCAGTTCCAGTGCTGCCTTGCTTTTCCCAGCTATGCGGTGAAAGGGGAACCATGTGAACTTGCTCAGCAGACACGTCTCGCACTTGGTATCATTTGGTTGCCCAGAAAGCTTCAGCCCCTTTACTGCTTCTTCCTTATGCAGTTGCTGCAGCAATGGCATAGCCACATGCCCTAGACGCCTGTGTGCGGTTTCCCAATCAGTCTCCCCCGACCTTGCAGAAACCGTCACTCTAGCAACACTAACTGCATTGCACTCCCCCTGGACTCCAAATCCCGCCTTTACTGCTCCCAACTCCTTCTTTGTTGATTCCCATATCAGCGCAGGGATGTGCCACATGGATCTGAAGACATCTCTGCTTTCGTCTAAATCCCATAACACACGATCTCCTCGCAGCCCCTTGAATGTTTTGGATCCATTGGTGGTGGTGCTGACTCCGGCCTGGCCTAGCTTGCGCAGCGATATCAGATTGGCCTTCAGCCCTGGTACAAGTAACACGTCCTTCAGCACAACCACTCCACCATCAGGTGCTCTGAATGCAGCTCGACCAACTCCAGCGACCTTCACTGCATGTCCGGATGCTGAGCGCACTTCGGAGATTGGAGGCGCTCGCACAGCATCCAGCAAGTTTTTGCGTGGTGTCATTGTCCATGCAGCACCAGAGTCCATGACCCACATGTCAAGCGGGTGCAATTCTTCTCCAGCCCTTGCAACAGCTGTGCCACTGTCATCTTTGTCACACACATGGTAGAACTGTCCAGCATTCCTCTCCTCATTTCCCATTCCTCTGTCGTCCTTGGAGGTTTCTTCAGCAGGATCAGCTACCATGTTGGCACCTCCATGTGGTTGCTTTCCTCCATTCCCCTTTTGTGATTGGTTCCAAGGGGTCCACCAGTCGAGCTTGGTAGAGCAGCCAAACCATGGATGCCCTTCTTCCTTGCAATACCAGCACTCTCCCCTCAAGCGTGGTTCACTGTTGTCATTGTTGGAGTGACCACCTCTTCCTCTTGCACCAGCGCCACCACGCCCCCGCTGGTTCCAAGTCCCGCGACCACCTTGGTTGTAGTAAGAGCGACCGCGATTGCCACGCCCTCGATCTCTCCATGTCCCTTGCATGGCATAGCCGCTGGTGCTGTCGTCACCTCCGCGCAGTGTATAGCGACGAAAATCTTCTTCCAGAATCTTGGTGCGAATCCACTCCAATGTCCATTGACTTTGGTTTTGTGGCAAGCTGAGTCCGCTTATAAATTGCAGCCAAGACTCGGGCAGCAGGCTGAGCATCTTGAGACACTTAGTCTGCTCAGGGTACGTGATGCCTGCAATCGCCAATTTCGCGTAGAGTTCCCTCATCTTGTCCAGTAGGGGCTGCACAGGTTCATTCTCGCTCAACCGCAGCATGGACAGCTCCCGATCCAGCATGAGAGAAGCAGCAACCGATGTCGGAGCATGCAGGTCCTTGAGCACTGCCCATGCCTTGGGCTCACAATCAGTTTCCGGTAGCAGATGCATGTTGTGATGCCTCTGGTTCAGCTCCAAGCTTTGTGACAGTAGATAATACCCAGCAGATGAACGTTCATCCCAGTCCGCTTGCTCTGCCATTTCGTTTGGCCTGGGCTCCGTTCCAATCATGAGCTTCAAGAGGCCAATTTGTTGAAAGTAGAGCTGCATCTTCCATGGCCAATCATCATAGCCATCTCCAGAGAACTTCTCAATGGTGAAGTTCTTCAGCACCTCCTTAAGCAGTGACCCCTGGCTTGTACGCGCTCCCCTTTGCGCTGCAATGCCAAAATCTTGGATTGAGCTGCCTCCTTGGACTGAAGTATCATCTCCAACAGAGTCCTCCTTATCTCCCATCGTATTTTGGGTCCCAAATGCGTGATAATGGGCTATGATACCACTTGTTGGTTAGAGAAGGCTATAAGCAGATGATTCAATGGCTCCTTGGAAATTTCTGCAGCACTTCGTTATGACGCCCAGAAAACCCGCGACCTTCGAAAAGCTATATCCAAAACTCCAATACGTGAAACGATCTGACAATCAGATATGTTGTAGCTTGCAGCGTCAGCTGTCCAGTGAAAGTTGAATCACTCGATTCCGTAGCTTAACGAGTGAGCTATGGCGTTTGGCGCACTGGGGGGTAATCTGCCCTAGGAGAAGTTGACAGTCCTCAGAGTCACTATAATTGAAGCTTACAAGTTCAAAGGCATGATGGAAAAGGCATTGAAGCACAGTTGGAAGGTGGGGATGGAAGGGAAGGATGAAAGGGAAGGACCCTAGAGGCACATGGTCAAGAACATGACAAGAGTCAAAGTCTTGACTCCCCTTCCTCGGGTTCAACCAGCCTGGCAAGACAAAGTTCACACTGTACCAGGTTGGCCTCCAACCCCCAAATGCTGCAGCTGCAAGGTGAGGACAAAAGTCCCACACATGCTGGTCCCTCCTCGTTATAGGGCTCTCCATCTTTGGTGTAGCAGCTGCCAAGGACTTCCAATGAGTTGTAACAAATCCATCAAACACTTCTTCGTAACTTCTTCATATGTGCTCCGACTCCAACAGTTCTTGGCTCGTTGAAATGTGCTCGATGTCATGCACAATCCAAGCACATCTGCACAAGCACAATATGAATATGCAAAGACATGCAAACCCAACAGACCACACAAACAACGTAGCACACAAAACACATGCAACGAAATGATGCGAACAGACGACAGGATGATGTGCAAACGAATATGCACCAACACCATGTCTCCTGCATCACTTTCCAATTTCTTACATGGTATGAGAGCTGTCTCGAATTAAGACGATCGTCAACTCTACAAATGACTCGACCATCACGAGCTCCAACATCTGGTTCTTCAACAACTGGACCCACGGGTATTACAAATTCTACAGCTTTCATAGGCCATTCAGGTGATTCTGCAGCTGGAAATTTTCCACCTGCATATTCTTCAATCGGGATGCCTGAACAGCTGCAAGGTTTGTCACTGTGCACCCACCGGGGACTTTGTCCTCTGCACCTGCAACATCACAGCAACAAGCAGCAGCATCAGTGACAGCGGCCTTTAGTGGTATGAGTATTGATGGTTCCAGCTATGCAAGAGCTGCAGCCGCTCCAAGCTCCAGTTCTTCGTTCACATTTACACCTGCTCAACATCAACAGTTTCAATTTCTTCAGCAACAGCAACAAGCACAACAATGGTTTCAACAAGAACAGCAAAATCAACAGCAACCTTAGCAATAAAAACAACAGTTTCCACAGCAGCAGATCTCTTTTACTGGACCTGTTTATCTGGCTCCAATACGCAAATCAAGACAACAATACATTTTCATGGCGCTGATTTCTACTCCTGGAGTTTCGAGTTCGATCTCCTTGCCAAATCCGCTGGATTATGGCTGTTCTTCAGTGGTGATTACTCGTTTCCTGTTACGAGAACACTGATGGAGCAGCAGAGTTTTCTTCATGCTTCGCTCAGCGCTTATACAATTCTTATCCGCAAACTGTCACTGAAAGAGCAACTCGGTATACGCTCGCTTCACACCAGCTTGACTCCAGCCGAATCTGCATGGAAACATTTGAAGGGACTATATATGGCACAGGACACCATCTCCGTGAGTAAGATTCTCTCACAACTGACAACTGTACAGATGCAGGGCAACGAGAACGTTTCTGATTATATCAACAGGGCTTGTACACTTTGAGACCAACTTGAAAAATGCGGCGGATACTTCCCAAAGGAGAAGTTTGTAACGATTCTTCTTGCCAGTCTTGGAGCAGACTGGCTGCAGTGTCGATCTCTTCTTCGCATTCAACCAAATCTTTCCGAGGCCGAAATTTGTTCGATTCTTCAAGCAGAGCAGCATGACCTTGACCTGCAAACAGCACGTCACAGAAAGGGAGCAGTTAATATCAGTTTTTACTCAATACCTGCAAAACGTGACAACAATTTCTTCTGTCACTACTGCAAAAAAGGATGGACACAGCATCAAATATTGCAACAAGCTTCAAGCAGATAAGAAACGAGGAGTGCAGCAGCAGACGCAGCAGTTCAAACAACCCGTAAAGCAGAATCAACCAACAACAACACCTGCCACATCCGGAAAACAAGTCTTCAGTTGTGTTACAACAGTTCATGCAACCGATTCAGATTTCCACTATGAAGAGGACGAAAGTTCCATCGAGCAACCTGAGAACATGATCAGGTTTATGCTAATCTCGCTCGGGTTTTTGCAGGACCAAACACTACGTATCCTGACAGTTGTTGTGGTCAACACATGTCCGAGATGCTCTTCATCACTCATCAGCATCCTCTTTGACGTCCTGTACCTGTCACAGTTGCAAACGGACAAACGATCATGGCAAGATCTATCGGCAGCGTCATGCTGGATTCTGTAGACACTGGTTTTTCCTTACATGTTACGAACGTCCTTATTATTGCTGGACTTGGTTTTAATCTTCTTTCAACGGCTCAACTCCTGCGACATAATATCAGGACACAAGGCAATTGTGAGACCATGGACCAGGAACTTTATCGAAACGATAACAATACTTACATCGGGAGAGCTGCCACTCAGTATGGTATCTCCGTTCTTCAATTCGAATCGCAAGGCACTTCTGGAGATTCTGACAGAGTGTTATCTCTTGGACCTTGGCAACATCCTGAAGAGACTGATTATCAAAAGGTCGAAATAGACTTCCGTGCAACTGCAGTTCCAACGGGATCTTGTACAGCCGCAGCGGTATAACGGCCCTTGATTCCTGGCCAACAAACACACCTGAAGAAGATACATCAGCGTGGCGGAATTATTATGACACTTTACAACAACTTGACAACAAACCTGCAGTACCTTGGGGACCCAGCAGCAGCAGCAGTGAAGCAGAGGGAGCAGAGCAGCAGAGTAGCATTGAAGCAGACACCGGGGTTCTCGTCGGTCAACCTGCAGCAGATTCAACAGAAACAGAAATCGAAGAAGGAGAATTAGTTCTGCAACCAAATGAAGTTCTGGACGTAGAAGTTAAAACCACTAAGTTACTGTACCTCTTACCCACTTTGTTCCTGGACAACTCGATTTTTATCTGCGATCAACATGACATAAAGCAACAGAGGATATATGGCATCAACGGTTAGGTCATCCGTCTCCGAGCATTCATAATCATTCTATACGGGCTTCAGTTCTTAACAAGAACAGCTTACTCTTACCGGATGGAACTGAGATAAAGTCGTCTTGACGATCGACAGTCTGCACAATGTGCACAATTGATAAGCTTCCTCATGAACCGTTTCCAAGTCATTTTCCAAGGTCGACTCGCTACACGCTTATGCAAAAAGTCTACAGCGACATCCTCAACTGAACTGAAGCAGGACCTAAGGGGGAGCTCTATATGATCTCCTTTATCAAGGCGTCTATTCCATATGTTTGGACGGCAAACATTCCGGCTCGTCATATGGCTCACTCTATCTTCGTCGCTTGGCTCGCGGTGGCTGAGAGAGAATCGAAAGAAAAGCTTGAAGAATTTTAGAGTTACGGCGCAAGGGAGATAACGAACAACACCTTCACTGAGTATCTTCAAACCCTAGGAATCAAGCACCGAGGGTCTCTGCCACATCAACACCAACAGATGGGGGTAGCAGAGTGGATGAACAGAACGTTACAGGAGAAGATGGGGGTCTTGCTGACTCAAGCAACACTTCCACCTCATTTTTGGACTTGCAGTTCTTCTACACAACTTGCTGTCGACGTCTCTTCCACAATTTTCTTCACCACACCTGCAGTGGACAAAAACATCCGGCAACACAAAATTTTAAGAGTTTTAAGGTGCATCGTCCAATACCGACCTCCGACTGCAGCACTCGGAAAATTTTCGGAGCGTGCTAAGTGGGGAATTCATCTTGGCATCGAGAAGCAGTTTTACGCGTGGAAAATTATGGCTCTTTCCACGAGCCGAATTATACCAGTATGTGATTGTCTTTTCTATAAACGACTCACCTTACCTGTTTTTCGTGCTCACTAAGCAACAGCTGCCAATCCTGCCAGGCTGTTCGAAGGCTCGCGTGCTTTCGCTACCGACGAGGCCAAAGTAGATGTACAGGGTGAATCCATTGCTGAGTCTTCCAAAGCTGCCACAGACATCCCCGTGCCAACTACATCAGCTGGAACTACCGAGTTTATCACACTCAATGAAGCAGACTCTGAAGATGTCCGCGATGTCGTTCTTGATTACGAACGTGATCGTCAGAAGCAGCCAATGCCCATTGTCTCTGAAGCAACTATCCGTGTAACACCTTAAGAAGTTGGGGGGGAATAGGGGTCAGAACACAACTTCTTTGGTGTCAACTCAAATCATCCTCGTTTTACAGAAACTGGATTACAGGTATTGGGACTCGCAGTCGCAATACGGTCAAACAGTAGTAAGATTCTGGAGCCGAAAATAGTT